GGAGATATCAATTTTTCTAAAGGAACAGATCAGGAGTTTTTCAACTCTCAACTTAATTAATTACCTTTGAAACAGATAACTTGCGGAATAATGTAAAATCATGAAAAATAGAAAACAAAACTTGTTTTATGTTTTTATATCACTTGTATTTGTAACTGACTTCACTGCAGTTTAGTTCTACACGGACGTTTTCAAACTAATACAATGAACTGATATGATCAACAATGTTAACCCTTATATATCTATACGCTGCGGTGGTTAATAACAATACTTCATGACTTTATTACCTGAATTTTGTTTACCTATGAAAATGTGGATTTGATTAGCAATTTTTTAACTTTTTTGTGTTGGTGTACTCATCTCTAACATATGCTCATAATTNTAATAATAGATTTAAGTGTGACTGGGGATTCCTCTTCGGACGAGTCAATGGATTCTGAAACTTCATAAGCATAACATAGGTAATTATTTCTTCGCTTTGTAGTTCTCTTTCTATATAAAAGGAACATAATAATTATTTTGTAAATTTTTCTGTTTATTTTTGAAGTACTGTATTAGGCATAATAAGAAAATGTAATCAGTTTTACCACTGACACCAGGTAGCGCCACCTACTATAACAATTTTTACGTGATAACCTATGTGTTTAAATAAATAAAAATATTATTTTGGTACGCCTCTGCAGAGTTGGTAAGAGGATTATCCTTTGGTCACTTCAAGTGTTATAGTATAACTGTAAAAGCGGTGAATGCATTAAGACTAACGCCATCTAGGTGTTAGAACCGAGACTTTTCAACACACGTAGTAGATATAAATGAGAACAAAAGCAAAAAACGGAAAAATCTGCCGAATTGAGAGAGATATTGAACATATTTAAGGCCGCTGCTAAATGAATCAACTCTTTAGTTTTGTTTTCAAAATAATGTACTAAAGGCGACAAGTAGGTTGGCGAAACATGCTTCTGGTGTTGTGGCATGGTTATGCTTCTGGTGTTGAAAAGCGGATTTTTGCACCTCTTTCTAGTACAGAACTGGATCCACCCGTTATCACTATTATTATTAACGTAAACGGCGGCGCCATATTTCGAAATGCACCAACAGATGGTTCGAGAATAGAATGCATACGGTGAAAGTGATAAAATATGATTTTATAGTTAGCGGCAGATATACATACGGATGATGTAAGCTCCAATGTCGTAACAGTGGAAACGCAAACGATGACTCATCTAAGATAGATAGAGAGAGAGAGAGAGGACATTTTCATATTCGAGCAAAACAGCTATTTTCACCAAATTTCAGAGTTGGCCGCGGTCCTTTCGGTTTCGGGCGGATCTTGTTTGTTTTTACAATCCGACAACTGGCATGCGATCTATTTCAAACTCCTTAAAAACAAATTCATTTACTCGAAATATTGTAAACTTTGCGCTGCTACATGCTTGCACTGCTTGTTCGATTTCGGACCGGTTATACTCGGCCTTGAGTTCGAAATTATGTGCGGATTACGCCGATTATAAAATTCAAAGAGATTTGAGAAATCGCGGTATAGTCCATGGGCCTGACTTACCATTTTCTTGCGATATGGCCGTATAAATATCGATACTTTGTCCTTAGTTGAAAACAGCGGAAATGATAGTCCGACAAAACATCTAAAATTTTCTAAACTAATAATAATAATAAATGGGCCTTATTCATTGACATACATTGTTTATAAAGAAGAAGTAAATACAAAAATCAATGAAATGGCGAAGTTCAGCGAAGGCTGTATAAAAATAATCACCTAGTATACATTGATGAGTAAGTAGTTCATGAATCTTTGTGAAACTAAGAAAAAAAACAAAGACTATACATTTCAAAGTAAATATTAAAAATCTATTTAGCTCAAATAAGGTAAAATACACAGCAAAACATACACAAAAGGGAGACAAGGGGAAAACCATACGAGCAAGGCATAACATGAATATATTATCTATCCAGAAGACTTCAGATATGTTGCAACATTTTTTTTTTTTATTTAATAGGGTCATTCAAATTCGTTTCTGTACATGGGGATCTCGTAAACGATAAGAGATAGAGTGTCGGTTAAATTATGGCAAAGTTGCGTATTTTAGAGACCTATTCAATGATGTGAAGAAATGGAATATAGCTCTTTTGGTTCTGGAGATATACAGGAAAAACAAAAAAATCCCAAATTATTTTTTTGCCTACATCTTCTTTATTCGCAGACATATTGAAAATCTGTCCACATTTTGCTATTGGCAGTTGATGTGGTCTCTCAGAATATANTATTTGGTTTCTTTATATCATTGAATAGGTCTCTAAAATACCTACACAACTTTGCCACAATTTAAAACTGAGAGAAGCATGCTGTCGAATGTTTTGGAATAATAGTGTGACGGTTTCGTATCCTCGACTTATTCTGAGATTTGAAAGTTTTATATCTTTCATAAATATAATTTGATTTTTTGTAAATGAGGAATTTATGTGTATTGACGAGTAGGTGGAACTGCCAGGTTTTTGCAATCGATAACCAATGTGACTCCTCGAACTTGGTGGATATATGGTCGAAGTTTCTCACACCATAAGAAAGACGAATGCAATTGTTTTGTATTTTTTGTAAGCGATTTACATCAAATTGTATCAAAGCAGGCCCGTAGATTATATCGCAATATGCTAATCTAGCAAAGTTTCAACTTCAGTTTGGAAGTCATAATATCTCTACTTTGATAGACTTGACGTAAGATACTGTACGAGCTACGACAAAGTGAATTTATATGTTTGTGAAATCTCAGATCAGCATCTAGCCACAAACCCAAGTTCTTGCTTTCTGCAATTATTTGTAGAAAGTCTGTCCAAGTTTGATTTCAATTCTTTCTTCAATTTCTCACCTTTTGTGTTTCGGGCCAAAAAGTATCAGCTGAGATTTTTGAGAATTCAATTTCAGGTTATGGGCTACAGATAAACCCAGTAACTTTGGTAGATCGCTGTTAATTTTTTCCATTGCCACCTGCCAGTTACTTGGAAGGAATCGATAATATAGCTGAGTGTCATCTGCATAGTTATGAACTGTGCAATGATCAATTATTTCATGGAAGTAAGATATATATATAGAGAGAACAGAATGGGGCCAAATATAGAGCCCTGAGGTAATCCATAGTCACCAAGTAAAGCACTAGAACACTTTCCATCCAGACATACTGACTGAGTCCGATTTTTAAGGTAACTTTTCAATAGATCTACATTCCCTTCACTAAATCCGAAAAATAATAAAATAAAATAATAAAAAGTGACAGCACGACAATGTGTTTGTTCACATTTGGCGATATAATTCAACAAGACTACTATCCCATGAAAAGTTCGTGGGCTAACTCACAGATGGAGCTAATAGTATTGAATCCATATGATTTTTAGTTAGACCTAACCTTCAAAAGACACCTGTACACATTTCACAGCTGTCGGACTATTAGTTAGTAGGATAGAACATTTTGAGTGAAGCAACGTTCGTTAGTTTGAACAAAGTAGAGAACGATGCACGCAGTGGAAGCCCCAAAAAGCATGTTACCGACGAAAACAAGAAAAAAGTCTACAAAATGATTTTGGATAACCGCCAAGTGAGTTCATAGGTTCAAGAAGTACGCAGGCGAAAAGATTGCTGTCTGCAGACACTTGTTCAAAGCCTGGGTATGGGCACACAAAACATTCTAATAGAGAGCAATATTAATCGATGAAACTAACGTACAGCCCACCGACTAATCGGCAGTCTATTCGGTTGAACGATAATAATGAAAAATAAAAATGAAAACATAACATCTGCACAAAAGATTCATTGTTAAATATTTATTTCGAGACGTTTTATTTTCGAAATGTTGATAATTAGCGAGGAAACGGCGTCGAAGGACTCTGCCAAACCGTTTAGTTTTTGTGGGAGGCCGATTTTCCACGCATTTCCCGATCTTCAAACAGGATTGTTAAGTAAGCAGGTGAGCGTCGATTGTTTTTTGATTCCAATGCGAAACGTGATGGACATTGTTAAAAACATGAGATTTTTTTCGAAAAAACGAATCGTTCAGTTCAAGATCGAATTGCTTTTAAATTTCGTTACTCGTTGAGAAGCATTCGTCTTATGAATTTCCTTAAAAATATTCATCGGGATTTTTTGACAAATTCAACTTTTTGGGGCCTCACCGAAATTCACTTCAGATGTTGAGATGCAACTCATATTTCATTTCTGAAAAGGAAATGAAGACAAAAACGGATTACTTTCGAAGTTGAAAATATATTTAACAATCAAGCAGAATTCTGGTACAATTATTCAAATATCATTGACTTTAGGTCGATGATGACCACTATCTTGCACTGATGAGTGGCTAATGAGCCCGAAACCGGTCTGCAAGTGTGCCCGTTCCAAAACTGAAGGTCGACCCTTTCAGTTGTATTGGCATATGCAGGAAATTTTCTGTGAAAGTTCCTGCACTGACGCCTGTCGGATATAATCCAACTCAAGACATTGTTGCTTGTTCTGGTTGAATATTATTACCAAAACTAGTCTATCCCATTACTTCTTCTACAAGTGTGTTATAAAGTTTCAATATCTGAATTATTGGCAATCAATACACGTTAAATACTTCAGCATTTACCATTTACTAATGAAGACTGCATAAAGATTCAGACCAATAGAAATAAACATGAAATCAAGGCTTAAAATAAAATATGCAATATTTTTGTCTGTGAGTGTATATTTTTTAGCAATTCTGTGAATGATATCTGATTCAATTCCATAATGAATGTTTGGAATACTGACTGAATAGAGAAAATTGTTTATGTATAATTCAGTGCTCATTTAAAAGTATATGTTTTGAAAGTATTTTCCTTCATGTAGGTAATTATGTAATAATTATGTTTATACAGAGTGACCCATTTGAAAGCGGGCCACCTCTCTAAAACTGTTATTTATTATCCGATTCAGAAGTTTTTTTTTTCAATAGATAGAGCGTAAAATAAATAGATATTTTCCAAACGATTTATTCTAATACAAGTGTATATGAACTGTGTGTACATGTCATGTAAATAGAAATTTTCGAAATAGCGAAATAATAATAACGATTTATACATTGTCGGTATAATCTAAATGGACGAAATCCAACGAACAATCGGAACTATTTATAAAAAATAATTTATACGAATAAATAGATGCCAGAAAGGTGCGAATTAGGCTAAAGTTCTCCTGAGTTAGTCAGGAAAATAGTGACTTTTTACTTCATCTATCACTTTGCACCACTCCAGAGCGTAGCCATCTGGGTCTTCGAGGTAGTATTTTCTATTAGGCTGAAAAAAATTGAAAATCAAATATAATTGCAGAAAGGCCGTTCTGAATTTTTCTCTGTTTATATTTCTGGATGAAATCCATAAAAAAATTATAGAGGCAATGTAGTAGGCACAAGTATTGTTGAAAATGGGCAATTACGGTCCTGTCCACTTTTAAAATTCCAATGAATTACAGCATAATCTATGCTTACCCTCCAAAAGACATTGAGGCACATTAGAATGCTGTTTTTACCAAATGTTGTGTGTTCTTTGAATCAGGTTTTGATAGCTTGAGCAGTCTAAACAACATACTTTAAAAAAAAATGTATGTCAAACTAATCTATTGATTTTTGAATTCCTTGAGACAGGTAAGGTAGTTTATTAAAAAAAATATTGACCTATCATCTTTCATCTTGAATATATACTCATCCTCCAACAATAATCTTATTCAATTTGATTCAAAGATATATCCAAGTTCAGTCATATCATATATTTTCCTAGCACTCTCGCATATACGTGGCCTATGTTGGCCAAAAAAGACATGATTTGAGTACTTAATTCACAGAACACATGTTGAAAAATATATTAAGAGCAAACAGTAATGAGGATTTGCCATGTAATTTCTCCACTATTGAGTTTTTCATAGTTTCAGAAGGAGAATTATATGCAACAGCTTCAATTCAACTTGTTAAAGAGAAAAACTATTATTTTATACAGCATGTATGACTCTCCTACCGTATGAACGAAAAATGTCTTGAAGTTCTTCGCTTCAGTTTTGAGATCGTTGCTCCAAGGTATCTCCCCCTTGAGGGTCATCGTAACAGGGTCGACATAATACAGATGAGGACCTAGTGTCAATAGGAACATCCGCCGCTTCGCAAAGAAGCCCTTCTTCTTGTCTACGAAGCCTTGCTTGAGGATCAGGTTGTCTTCGACAAAGCTATGGTAGGCATTGCCTTTCCGTTGAGCTTCCAACCGTTCGCAGATTTCTTCGGGGCTCAGGTCCGTGATTTTGCGGTTCGGAAGGGATTTTTTCCTACAAAAATGACTTTTTTTCCAGTTTGTGTCTAAAAACTACTTCTCTGCCTGATCTACACATCTTTGGGAAGAGTTCATTTTCAAATTGATTGAGGAGTAGGAAGTCAAAACCTTTCTTTTCCAAAAATGAATCTCAAAATGCAAATACGTTTCAATTCAATACATTTCAAAGGTGTGAAGTACACAGAAACCTTATGGAGAAAAGACATCCTTTAAAATGAAATCTATTTACATTAAAAAAACAACAAAGAAATGCCTCATTACAATTATCAAGGACAAATATCAGATGGTACAAGCGTTGGGGTGAAAAACATACTGAAGTACATTTACCTCCGCAGAGAACAAAATCAAAATGCAGGTACGTAGACCTTCCTCCGAGGAAAAAAATTACTACTACGACACAAAACGCGATCAGAATATTTAAACATTATTTATAATGCCTTACATTGTCTGCAATGAGATAAGAAAAGCCGGTTTGCCAAGTAAAAAACGAATACATAACGAATTGTGTTTGTATACGTGCTGTCATAAACAACTGATTTTCGGACAACTGTCAAATGTAGCACTCGAACTGGGATAAAAATAATTTTTCACCGCTCGCGATGGTGGATTTGTTTACGGATATATCGATACTCGCAGAATATATGCCATTATTCAAATTCAAAGTTTCATGAGGCTACTATTTGAAAAGTGTGGGCGGGTGGCAAATTCTGAATAGACACAAAATAGAAAATAGGACTTGCCTTCAATGATGTCCCAACATGTCCGCTCCCGCTCGCTTGTTTCACACAAAAAGGGCGGTTTTTAAGTTAATTCACACGGCACCGCGAACAGAATTTCTGCTTATTTTCTTTGAAATACACATTTGGCCACACAACAACTAACCAACTTTCGCCATGTTGCCGTCAGTGCTACCATCTAACGCGAATAAAAAACAAAAAGTAACAACTGGTGTAGTAGAAATAAAACAAAAAACACTAGATTTTTCTAAATATGTGAAATATTTATGAGTTTACGCTAAAAATTATATCGTAAACGATAGCCTTCTACATGTCAACATCAATCAAATCTTTACATTAATCTGAAATTATCAAACGTAGATTAGTGGATACTTATTCATGATAACAGGAATTCGACGAGAGCTTTTTCAAAAATTGGAGTGAATAATAGCCCGCCTGTGCGAGCCTTGAACTAGTTTCACTATCAGGATTATCACTATCAGGGACACAACTGCGCTGTATAAATTAAACATTTTCAAATGTTCTCTCTCCTTCCTCGTATATGGGAACTTTTAATTTTTCTGGTAGAGTCAAGAAAAATTGATTACGTAGTGTTAGTGAAGCCACAAGTAACTTCTATTGCAACGATTAGTAGTATCTTTCAAGTTGATTAATGTTTTTTCTTTTGACTGTAGAACCTTCAAATTTGTTGGATCTTGACATAGTATTATGTACAGCGATATCTCCAAATAATTTTTCGATTGTACCACCATGATAATAATAGATTACCACGTACCATGTATCTGTCAACTTACCACGGTGGTAATTGTAGCTTTCCAAATGAGGAGTGATGAGCTCAAGGCCTTCTGAAGAATTGCATGAACACTTAGTTTTATATCAATTTAATTGGTTCAGGGCCCTGGAACCAGAACTGGGACCGCCTTCATCCAAAAGACACCCCACAATAAAACCACAGGTCTCATTCTACGCTGATTAGGAGACAGGACTTTAGTTCAGAATGTAAGATTTGATAATGAACTTGTTGTGACTCAGTGAGGTCGACATCTCCACTTAGGAAGATGCAATGCTCGAAATAAAAGATAAACGAGGTTTCCAACGCTGTCAGTTGCAAAGCCAAGCTTCCACATCAATCGCCAACGAGATGCGTTTCTTTATTTTTGATTGTCGAGGACTAAGTTCTCTGCCAATCTCATAGATGGTGCCTTCGTAAGGGGAGATGCCATTGCCCTCACTTACCCAGGGTAAGTGAGGCGTCTCCAAGGCGTTCGATAGAGTCTGGCACGTGGAACAAATTTTGGCAACACGAGACCAATGGTGAGACTAATCGATTCTTTTCTAGCTGACCGACGATGCCAATGCAGAGTAGGGTAAGACACTAGAGGCTGACTTCGACAACAGGTCAGATTCAATCTTGCTGAAGTGCCAAGCAGTAGGTTGAGGACCACTCGGAAATGAGTGAGAGAGGACGGATTAGATGGTGGAATGCATTTGTGGTTCAACCTAACCTAGAACTACTGATGAAACCTATGGCGGATCAAAACAGCGCTGTCTGGTTTTGAACTACGAGGGTGATCGGAAAAATTTTTGACCTAACAAAGATACAAGACATTTTTTCAGATTTTCTTCCCAACATAGTCGCCTTTTAACTCTACACACTTCTTCCAGCGATGCTCCTATCTCTGTGACCCGTCCAAATAGTACTCGGCGTTTTAATCTGCAAAATAATTGTTCACCAAGGCAATTGCCTCCTCATTTGACGAAAATTTGTCCTTCGAGCGCAATTTTCAGATGAGAGAACGAAAGAAGTAGTTTGGGATTAGATCTGGTGAGTAAGGCGGATGGTCAAGCAGTTCACATCGTAATTCGTGGATTTTTGTCATGACAACCGCTGTGGTGTGCGATGATGCACGATCTTGGTGAAAGAAAATTTTCTTTTTTTGGAAATGTGGCCGTTTTTCCCGAGTTCTGCCTTCAGTTTGTCAAGTAATGATGCCGAGTATGTTTCTGTAATGGTTTTTCTTTGTTGAAGATAATCGATCAGAATAACTCCGCGACTATCCCAAAAAACAGTAGCCATCACTTTCCCAGCCGAAAAAACAGTTTTTGCTTTTTTGTAGCCGGCCCCCCTTTGCAGTCTACAGTTTGGACTATATTTTTGTTTCATCGACAGTAATTAATTGGCACCAAAACTCGAATTTATTGCGCCTAAACTGCGCCAACAGAGCATTGGTCTAACGTGAGCAAACGCGGCACCCAACGAGCGGACAGCTATCTCATGCCTAAATGTCGATTAAATATGTGACAAACACGTTATTTTGACATGTTAATAACCTCTGCTACCTCTCTCACTTCAATTCGGCTGTCGTCTAGCACCATTTGGTGAACTTCGGCGATGTTGTCGTCGGTAGTTGCAGTTTTTGAACGTCCCGTATGTTCATAGTCTCCTAAGCTCCTAAATCAACGTTTAAATTCAGCTGCCCAAAATTTCACTGCGTTAAATGATGATGCAGAGTCCCCATACATGGAATCTTTGATCTGTGTAGGTGTATTGCCTTTCAAAAACAAATATTTAATGACAGCTCAGTACTCGATTTCCTCCATTTTCATAAAAACACTCACGTCGACTCAGTCAAACGACTGTTATATAACAACTGCGCGTCCAAAATGGCTGAAACTTTGGTGAATAACTGTCAACAATTGAACAACGAAATTTACTAGCTTTCATTTATGAGTGCTGCCATCTTCATGTTGAGGTCGAAACTTTTCAAACCCCCCTCGTATAAATTCATTGTGTTTGGACTCTAGTTTTCAGCTATTTGTCTTGATTCCATGAGTACCTAAATAAAACAGAAACAAACTTATATTCAATTCGGATTTACATCCAAAAATTCAGCTGAACTGGGTCTGATTACCTACGTTGATTTTCTGTCTGCTCTATCTAAGGGTTTGCAATTTGACTCTGTGTAAACTGATTTCTCCAAAGCTTTTGACAAAGGTAATCATGAGCTATTGATCCATAAACTTTGTTTATATGGTGTTGATGGGCAAATATTGCAGTGGCTCAAGAGCTATCTTACGGAAAGAACACAAATTTTTAGAGTTAATCATTACTATTCTCATACCATCGCAGTTACATCGGGTGTTCCACAAGGTTCACATTTGGGACCACTGTTGTTTAACCTTTTTA